TCTAACCATGATCTCATCCCACAATCCTCACTCTTGCTCCATATGTGACATCCTTTGTAAATCATTAGTGGGTCTTAAGTGGCACTTAAGATTATCGCACAAAATTTCATAACTGAAATAATTAAGCTGTCAGATCCTCATACGTCTAAACCGACGGGAGACTCCATTATTTCATATATGAATGAAAAGCCGGGGAAAAATATAGATTTAACCGACACGTTTCGTCCTCCGACGGACGTTACCATGGTAAATCTGATGATTTTATTTTCCAACAATTATATATTTGTCAGTTACTAAAAATTTTTATATTTAAGAACTCTCATCAGCTTAACTAAAAAGGTAAGGTGTTAGATCCTAGATTACGTCATATAGCATTTTTGAAAGGAATTTTTTAAATGTAAAGAGGCTCATATGAAGATCAGACAAAAGAATTAATATTAAAGAAAAGGAATATGCGGATGCCCATGATCGTATACTTCCCCAAGGAATATTTATGATATCAGAAAGAGATTTTATTAATTATTCGGAAGAATCAGACGAATTAAAACATGTCTTTTAATCAATTTCACATGTACGATTTCGAAATATGAAATGAACAATTCATTTCAAATCGAAAAAGTATCAATATAATGAAAAAGTAATAAAAATTAATTTTAAAAAATTGAAATGAGCAATCGATTTCAAAATGTCGATTTAGAATATATTCGATTTAAAAAATATTAGGTTTCAAAAATATTCCATTTCAAAATATTTGTGGGGTGAACTAAATATTTGGAAAGAAATCATTTTGCATAATTTGAATAAGTTTTTCATTTTTTTCTTTCTTGTTTAAGAAAGATTTGACTTACCTAAAAAGCTAACTTTTTAAATTCCTTATTTTTCTTTGGCTTCGAAGATTTTTTCCGATATATTTGGCTTTTAAATCCAAAATAGTATTGCACTGCAAAAGATAAACGACAAAAGGATTATTGAAAAAAATGAAATAATAAAGGCAATGCAGAAGTTAAATAAAAAAAATTAAACAGACATGCACAAAAGATGCATTAACAATTATTGTTTAATATCATCATCATCATCATCATCATCATCATCATCATCATCATCATCATCAAAATTGTTTCAATTTGAAATAATGAATTAACATGTTCTCTCATATTCAGTGTCATTGTGTACCGATTCGACAATATTTTGCCAGGCTTCTTTGTCCTCTGCGAGTTTGCGGATTTGTTGCAGATCTTCCTCGATTGTAAACTTCTCCAAAGGAAATGTGGGTTCTTTCTGTTTTGTTATTTGAATACCTCAGTTCAGCGTTTTAACTATGGTGTTTCTTGGATGACCTCGGAACGTTTTGAAGTCAGTATTTTCACAGTAAAACTCCATGGCTTTGTTAGCTGCGCATTCTGGTTCCATTTGCAAAATATGTCCAAGTTTCCATCTTGATTTCAAAATGAACAAAGACAAATGAGAGATTCTTGACATCTGCTGTACAAGTTCTATAGCATTTTCCAAATATTGTCTTTCTCCGTATGTAACATCTAAAATAATTAGTGACTGCGTAGCAGCGATTACCTACTTACACCAAGGATTATCTTTTGGATTCAAACATTTATATCAAGACTATTTAGGCAAAAATTGATGTATAGAAACATCTAACAAGTCATGTCTTTACAATCAATATTATTCGTATTTCTTTTTTCTTTCCCTCTCTCCCATCTTTCACTCTCACTCTCCCATTTCTCACACTCCCCCTTTTTTTAGGGAATTATTGTACTTTTATGTTCGGTGTCTTTTCAGGATATGGGTGATCGTGGCTCTCCACAACATACAATCATTTGTAGGGAAAAGCAATTCCAAGCTGTATATTGATAGCAGGATAGAGATTAGGATTGACCGTAGGAGACTCAATCCTTGTCACTATCCTGCCATCAATGTACACAAGCTGCTTACGAAGGTTACTCGACGTTTCCCTCTACACTTCTTACCGTCACTATGTCATATGAGTGTCAAATTCTCCAAACACTCTTTCTACATGTTTCTTAGATATGTCAACAGTTTCTTACTGAATCTAGATACAAGTATTTATTCACCCATTTCACATAAGACTTCCGGTTTGCTCATAAATTCCGGTTATGATATTCTCACTCGCCTTGGATAAAAGTATATGTCTGCTGCACCAAGTTTGCCTTTAATTTGAGAATAAAGTCACTTGCATTCACTTCAACGCAGCAAGATTGGTATTAGCTGTTCCGCAAGCTTTTCTTTATTTCTAATGAAATTTTCCAGTTTCTTAATATTTTCCTTAGCTGTTGGAAGGCATCTTTTTCGATTTCAATGCAACTCTGGATTTCAGTGTAGCATTTTGTGTGGCCAGTTAAAACAAATAATTACATTTCTGTACTTGCTTGATTTTAAGGTTTTCAAAGGAATATGAAAAGGAAATAATACTGGACATTCAGTACTCACACATTAGCACACATTAGCACCCGGATGTGTATGTGTG